AGCCCCAACCTGACGTCCTCGCAGGAGGCTGCTGTTTGTAACCCGGTGCACACAGGCACACAGAAGCTGGTGCTGACAGCTGCACAGAAGCAGCAGGGCACACACCTGTAGCTGCAGTACTCTGCACACGCTTGTAAGTGCAGCGCTCTGCGAGGCTGCGGGAGAGCAGACCCACTGCCTAGGCAATTCATCAAGACCATCTCAAAACAGAAATAAAAAGGGTGCATTGTGTTGCTTGGTGGGAAGGGCCCAGGTTCAACTCTCAGTACCACAAAACAAAAAACAATTAACTTCACATCTTGAAAGAGAGTGTTCACTACAGACAGTGATGGGCAGCAGGGCAGATGGAACAGGGATGTACTTTTTAAAATCCACAGAAATTTCAAAGTGGGGATCATTACTATTCTCAAAGGGTCTGAAAAGGTAACTGACCAGTCTAATGACTAACCAGAAATCTCAAGGGACACCAGCAGTCCCCCACTCACCTCACTGAGGGAAGGGCTGTACGGAACAAGTGCTCACTACTCGGAATACTGTACAACGCCGGGAAAAGTGGCGTGGGCGGGGGAGGGACTAGGCAGAGAAAGTTCTGAAGAGTCATCCTAATTCTCCCTACTGTGGCTTTTTAACTCTGGTTAACTTTCCCCAGCACCAGATAACTGCAAATGTCACTGATTTTGCCAAGTGCCTCATGCATACAATGGATTTAAAATGTTTATTTTTAGGGTTAATTTGATGGCCACTTTATTATAGTTTAAGATCCCCAGAAAGTTAATAAAAGACACTATGATCTGATAACTAAAATGCTTATAAACATCGCTGTATTCCAATGAAACTAGGGCCTCAAAGTACAGATTATTAATGAATCGCATCTAGTAAATCCCTACTGAACTTAAAAACAAGCTTATACTCTCTAATTAAAACCATATGAAAAATTTTTAACTACAGGAAAGTTATTTGCAAAGAAATATGAGAAATAATTGGGGGTGGTGGCAATAAAAATTCATTTTGAAACTGAGAAACTCTTATGTAATGTCTGTGATCAAAGGTCAATGTCTTGCAACATTCTCATACAAGTCCGATCTGGACAAAAATCAACTCAAATATAATTTAGAAAAATAACAGGATAACAAACAATGTGCTAACCTCGTGAAATGCAGGCATACCTTACAAAAACAACAAAGTGAGTAGCATAGGAAATTTCAATGATATTGTTTCTGTTACGATTGAATTGACTCCCAAGAGTGCACTCATCCGCAATAGAAATTTAAAATATTCAACTTTTAACAGCATCAACGCCATCTGGATGACAATGGAAATAATGAAGTATATGCGGTCTCAACTTGGGTAAAAATAAAGCCACTATGACTGCACCTTTCCAGCCCAGCCACAGCAGCATCTGCATTTCAGAGTCGCCTCCACTGACCAGGGCAAGGTCAATAGGAACAGCCCCGCGGGTGAGTCAGACTTGCTCAATGTGTGAAAGGGCTGTCACGAAGCGTGTTAATTTCTAGGTGTTGCATCACCATGATGTTATAATTGCACTTCACCAAGATAAGCTCCAACACAGAAAGGAAATTGTTTCAAAAGCTACAGTGAGCTTGCATTCGTCCTCACTGAAAGGAGGCACAGAAGGGAGAGGGTGACAAGCATGGCTCCCCCACCTCCCACTGGGCCAGCACCAGCCCTCCAACTGTGCTTGGCACCTGCAGTGTTTAGTCAACCTCGGCTCTGAAGAATGCCCAGTGTGAGGGTAGTGATGATGGTTACTTCTGGCCTTTCCCCATTATTTCTCAGCTCTGTCCTGTGTCACAAGTACAGTGTGAACTGATGAAATTTAATCTTATGTGAGTCAAAAACTCAGCCAGGGAGGCTTTAGTTTTCCACCGCATAAAGCCGGGAGGCCCTGCTGATTTAGGGCCTCATTTTAGGAAAGAACACTTAGGCCCAAGGACACTGGTCATAGAAAGTTCCAGAGAACTGGATGGGGCCTGGCAGTTTACCCTCAACAACTCCTCTTTCTGGTCCTTCAAACTTCCCCAAAGTATCAACCCTGGGCCTGGGGCATTTGAGGGCCTCTGACCCTATCAGGAATCCCCCACCCCCCACCTGAAATGAACCCTGGTTGTCTTAACAGAAGCAATCCCCCACTGGAACAAGAAATCATCCCCAAACAGACCTTCCTTAGTATCAGTCTAGGCCTGATACTAAGGGCCTTCCTAGTATCATCAAGGCCCTGGGAGACCCAGGTGGGCGACACAGAGCGCACTAACTCATCCTGGGTTCTGGTTTCATTTCCTTGGTTTACCTGAAGGGCTGTGGAAGGGGCAACATAAAAGCCAGGTCGATGGACAGCAACAGCCAGCGACAAGGGGACACTCACTGACTGGGGGCACTCACGGGATGGAAGCCAAGCTTTGGATCTGTTTTCAACAAAGCTCAGGTCCTGTGCTCTGCAGGAGCCCACTGTAAAACCCCTAGAGAGCCAGGTCTGGAAGTCTTCAAGCCTGGAGAGGAGCCCTGCGCCACACTCTTCAGGGTGAGACTGCAGTGTCTGGCGGGGCTGTGATTTTATTTTGTTCTTAACTTGGTGGACCCGCGTTCCCTTAGACAGCACAAAGATTTTAAAAATTAAAATAGCAACAGGCGCTCGGCTGGCCCTTTCAGGCCAGGTGGCCCCTTTCATCCTCCCTGCCGGGGCCTGGCCCTGCCTCTGACTCTGGGAGGGTCTCCCCTCCCCAAGCGCACGGAGCAGCTGGGCTCCAGGACTCAGCGGACTCCGGAACAAAGGTGTGTGCGGCTCCAGACGCACGGCCTGTGGAGGCGAGGGCCCGCCTGGGGGTCCCCTCCGGGCAGCCGGGCGCACTGGAGCCTGCCCTTCCCGTGGCCAGGCCCGGCTCCCGAGACGCGCCTCCGAGAGGTGGGCGGCGCAGCAGGGCCTCGGTGGCGCCAGGACCCCCGCGCCAGAACAAAGGAATGCGGGAGGGGCGGCGGCAGCGGGGCCCGGCACAGCGGCCGCCCGGGCGCGTCCTCTAGAGGCCCCGCCGCCCGCGCCGGCACCCGCGCCCGCTCCAGCCCGGACCTCAGCCCGGGAGGGGCGCCTGCAGGACCGGGCGGGGCTGTGCCCTGGAGGTCGCGGTCGGAAGGTGGCGCGCGCGGCGCCCCGCAGGCCTGGGGCTCCCACCCGAGCGTGCCAAGTAGGTCGAGTCTGACGCTGATCGTCTTCCAGAAGGACCGCAATCATTTGGGGGTCACAGAATGTGTTCAGTCACGAATCAGTGTAATTTGGCCTCACTCCTTCGCCCCCAAAATCTTCCACTTTAATTATTTAAATATTACGTGAAGGAAAAAAATGCTCATAGGCACGCTATTGTATTCACGTATTCCCACGGAATTACACAGCATAAGAGTCTAGGAAGAAACTGAATGTCTGGCTGCTTCACACATTCATACATCCTCACACGAATAAAACTAGGTTATCCAGACAAAAATACAATCTACTAACCCATATTTGTTTCCCATAAATCATATCTGTCTGGAGAAAAAAAAAAAAACACGATGCGAAATAAATACTTTTGACCTCATTAGCTGTCGTTATTTACAAAAGCCAAGAACAGAAGATGACACTTGGCTCTTTCCCGCTGTTCTCAAAGAACAGCAGTTTCCTAAAGTGTTCTTTAAAAAGATAAACGGGCGACAGCACCCAGCGAACCACCGGGCACCGCGAAATGCCTTCCTAAAAATATAATCTTATCAAAGGTCTCCAAAGGCGTGGAGTTGAAACTACAGCAAATGGTCTTGAACTTGCATTTGCACACTGCCCTGGAGAAAACACCAGAAATAGCACCGAGGCCACAATTGTTAAAATGTGACTGGGCTAAATTTAGAAGAACGCACATTTCATTTAGGGCAAAAGACCCACATTTGGCAGCATGAGCTAACGCAATGCTTCGCCGGTTGTCTACTGTGCTGTTTAAAATATCCTTTAAAAAAACCTGTCACAGTGACATTCTTAAACGCTGAGGCTGTCCTACTTTCTTTGTAGCAAGATTATAAAATCACGTAATTAGCTCCCGCTTTCTACGCTCGCTGCCAGCAAATTCAGCAGTTACATAATGCAACATTTCCAGGAAACTATTATGTGATCTGTCTCCAGTCTGAAAAAGCAATGACAATAAGGTGAGAAAAAGGATTGATCCGATGGAATGCATTACAGTTAGGAAGCTGGGGAGGTAAACGTCACAATGGTTCTTCCCAGATTAAAAATAACAGCTCGGAACATTTTAAGGGGCGAGCCCTCCCCCGTCATAGTACCCAAGATCAGTATTCACGCCCAGAAACACCTCTTTTCATGCTGTGCAGACCGTTTTAAAACACCTTTATTTGGGGTTGGATACGGATGTAAATAATGATCCAATGTCCAACACTGCGCTTAAATTACTCGATGGGTCCACCCAGATGCGTGCAATCCCACATCGGCCCGGACTCCGCGCCAACATTTCACCGTGGCAGATTATGCAATGTAAGAAAGGACAAATCTACAACCTTCTCGAGGGCTTGTAAAACACGCTGACGACAACAGGGTGGAAAGGTCCGCGCGAGCCGCGCCGACGCGCACGGCCGCCCACGGTGCCTTCCTGCCCCCGCCTGGACGCCGGGACGCCCGGGTTCGGCTCCGCCTGTCCCGGCCCGGCCCGCGGCAGCAAGGCGCAGCCCGCGGCGCCGCGCGCCCGGGACACCGGCGGCCCCGAAGCCCGGGGACGTTATGCAACGAAGGGAAGCGAGCCCGGCGGGCTACGTGAGGCACCACACTCGCTGCCGCCGCCTGAGGCGGCGAGTCCCGCGCTGACAGGGCTGCGAAAGTTTCCGGAACGCGCGCCCCGCGCGCCCAGCGCCCCCGGCGCCGCGGCGACCCGGCGCCCCGATCGGCCGCGCGCTCGGGAGTGGGAGCGGGAGCGGCGCAGGCTCCGGGCCCGGCCGGCGGTGGGCGGAGCGCTTACCGTGTTTCTGCTCTCGGGCGGCGCGGAGAAGACAGAGGCACCGGGAACAGGCGGGCGGCGCTGGTTCGGGCCGGGCAGAGCCTCCGGGCCCGCGGCGGGCGGCGGCGAGGGCGCGGCGCGGGAGGCAGGCGGCGCGCCGGGTCCGCGGCGCCGTGGCCGCGCCGAGAGATGTGTGTTAGTAGGTCAGTTCCGAGCGCCGCGCGACGTCGCCGCCCGCCAGTCCCGTGACGGGCGGCCGCGGCCCCAATCACCGCGCCCGCACCCCCGCCCGCCCCCAGGCCTCCGCCAATGGGTGCGGCCGACGTGGGAGGGCTCCTGGAGTCCCCGCCCCCGCCCCGCCCCGAGGCCCCGCCCCTCCCGGCCGCTGCCACTCCGCGTCCCTCCCGCCGGCCGCGGCCACAGCGGCTGCCCGGTACTCGGGTCCCGCGCCCGCCCGAGGAGCTGCGCACGGCCGCGCCGCGGCAGCGTAGAACGGACCGGGGCCGCGCCCCCGGCGCCGAGTGATTCGGCGCGCTTTGTGACCCGGACCTGTTGCGGGCTGGCGGGGGCGTTGTGCCGGCGGCCGCGAAGCTCCTTGCGCCAACACCGCCCCTGCACGGCGCGGGCGAGGGCGGCGGCGGCGCGGCGCGGGCGTTGCGTAACGCGGCCGCGAAACCGGGCCCGCGGCCCCGTCCCCACCCCCAGCTCGGCCATGTGGAGCGGCCGAGCGCAGCTGTCCCGGGTCGATACGGTCCGGTCCGGTCGGACCCCGCCGCCCGGCCTCGCCGGGAACGTGTAAACGCAGGATCTTGGCCACCCGGCAGCGATTCGCGTCGCCGCGGGGACGGTGCGGCACGTGGTGCCCGCGTCCACAGGGCAGGCACGCTTCAGGAGCGGCGCGGGCCGGTCTCACTGGAGCACGACGGGTGCGTCCCGCGGAGCCAGCGCCCCTGACCCGACACCTCCCTCCCTCACCGGCTTTTACAGTCGCGAACAGCGCGGTGGACCCGCAGGTGCCGGCGCGCGGGTTCGGCGTCGGCTGAGGTCAGCCCACTGCTCCTGGGTCTTAGCTACTTCCCTGGCCTCCCAGTGTTGCAGACAATAGCAAAACAGTTAAGAGCCTGAGAATTTGGACAGCCTCAGAGGGCGAGGGCTTTCGGTCAGAATTTACTCTCGGAGAGCACAGCCTGGCTGGGGCCCTCAACTGAGACCCGAAGTGAGGGTCCCAAGCCCTTCCCAGGTGCAGACTTGTTCGGGAGCTGCGTGCGTTTATTGACCAGCCTAATGAAAACAAATCCCGATTTGATATCAAATTTCCATTTACTAATAGCTTCCCTCCCCCTACAACCTTACACTGCCTATTTATAGCTTTGAAAACCTCTCAGATGAAATCAAAACCAGAGCTGTAAATCAGTTACAGGGGGAGGGGTGGGGGTCAGGAGGCAGCTCGTTCCTAGCAGTAGAGAGGTGCTGGCCGCACTGCCTGCTTTCCACGACGCTCTGTTCACGCTGTTCTGCAGGTGGAATGCTGTAGACAGGCGGCATCTGTCTTTACATGATGACAGCTATACCCTCAGAGCCGGTTTAGGAGCCTGGAGTTACCTCAGTCAGTGACATGGAGAGCGCTCTGATCTGGGACACTTGTTCTTTCTGCTGAATTTTAAAATCTGATGCTCTTCTGATTTCCTGGAGTACTTTACTGTAGGTTGTGCCTGTATCATACCCATGCTTCACTTTTTATTCTATCAAACTTGGAAATCAGAGGAATTGTGAAAGATGCCTGTGACACCAACTTTGAAAATAACTCTTTAGCTCCTCCTGGTGATTAGGAAATTGCTAAACATCACCACAGAGTAGCTGTCTCTGGCCCTTAGCCACACCGCCTCTCCTATGACACCCTGGATGTCGGGCAGAAAATCTGCAGGGTGACCTGCATAGAGGAAGCATGAAGCCTAAATTACTTGATACAGATCAACGAGGGCCAGGGACTGTCAGGAGTACATCGGTGTGCCTGGTAATGGAACAGGAGTAAGGAGGTTCTTGGGATGGGGAGGAAGGGGCTGTGGTCCAAGTGTGAAGTAAAAAAACCTACTTTTTACATTTTATTTGTGGTTCTGGGGATCAGATCAAGGGCCTGACACACAGCAGGCCAGCACTGCACTGCTGAGCTACACCCCCAGCCCCAAGTTAAAAGAGTTTTACTTTTGGCTTCCAGTCCCTCTCAAGGTGGGGTCCAGCTGGGTGCAGGAGCCAGGCAGGAGGTGGTCACAGCTCTGATGATAGTTACCTCGGTCACACTGCACTTCATTCTCTTTCTCTGCCAACGTGCCCAATGATTTGGCAAGTATAACAGAGAGCAGGACAGTTTGAGAATAGAACAACTAAGTCTGTAGCCTTTCCTTACCAAGGTAGGAAGAGCCCTTTAACTGCAAGACAGTTCAAGCTAGAAGATGCCAAGAGGGCGCTCATGTGCAGAGGTTTAACACTGGGCCTTGCTAGACAGAGATCCCTGCCAAATAGATATGTGGAGAATTCAGGGAGTGAACTGCATGTGCCCTGTGGCACAGGGAGAGAAAAATGCCCCCTTAGGAAGATCCCAGCACAACTGGAGCACAGTGCTAGGGTCCTGTGGCTACAGGTTTCCAAAAGAAACAGCTTTTAAATTTTTTTGGTGAACTATGCTGATTTTCTGTGTTGGCAAAAAGTCAATAAAACATCTCAGCCTCGGGGGCGCAAAGACAACCCCCCTCCCAGGCACCCAAAGTGAGGCCCCTCCCTCGTCTGTGCTGGATTTCTCTGTAGAAAGTTTGGCTTGCTAACACTCTTTGGTGACCACTGGTCTGATCTGGTGTTTCGCAGTCAGCCACAAGAGCTGTGTTGCTCTTTCATTTTTTGACCATTTCTTGTCCTTCTGTTAAACTTCATGAACAGAAGTTCAGGCAATTTCTAGGAATCCATAGGTCGTCAGTTTACTCTGTTTTCAAGTTGTGGCTTTACAGTATGAGCTAGTGTGCGCCCATCAGCATGATTTATGGTGGCATTTTGGCTTTGATCTAGTGAGTCATTGAATGTTGAAGCGGGACTTCCTGGAATGGTATTTCTTCCTTTCACTCATGAACTTTTCTATGTCTACACTACATGTCATTTCTAATCATTTAGCTCCTTCCTCTCCTTGCTCTTTGACTTTTCTTTTGATTGGCCTTTATTTTTTGTTTTGTGTTTCTTCCTCAATTTATTTGGTTCAGTCTTCTTTTTAACTTTGGTTTTTTGGTGGTCCTTTGAATCCTGGGTGTTTCTTTAGATCCCTTTTTTCTACCAAACTGGACTTCTTTCTCCTGTCACATCCCTGTTCCCTACACACCTTAGATCAGAGTGTTAGAAACTTTTGCTGTCTTCCTCTGGCCTGCAGTCATCTGGCTTTTCTACTGTAGTCCCACCAGCAGGAGTTCTGTTAGTGTGCTTGGCCTTATTCTTCAAAAACCATATTTTGTGGGAAGTTGAGTAATAGAAGAGGGTCAAATACTAACTAGTTCCTGTACAAACACTGACTTTAAAGTATGGAAAGCCAAAATGTTCCCTATTAAACAGTTCTTGCTCAAGCTAAGAAAGAAATCAGATCTCTACATTGACTGCATGATTTCCCCAGACAGAAGCAGTTGATGGTTTGAATACATTTCAAAGCAGTTCCAAAAGATCTAGGGAAAGACCAGAAAGGGGTGATTCTGTAAAGAAGAGAAAATGTTGCAAGCACACTGAAACAAGTTTTCAAACTCAACTAACTTAGATGGCACACATTTCAGTAAGCATTTTTGTTCACTAGGATTACATGGTGAATGCACTGAAATAAAGTAGACTAACAAAAAAGGCAGGTGGGAATCGGTGGGAGACACTAAAAATGGTCAAGAGTTTGGCAGTAGCTTCTTGCATCCATTGCAACACCATGGTGATGGAGCAAGCTTTGTGGCAGCAGTTAGCTGACAACTGGGACCCAGCAGGGTTGCGAGGATGTGAAATAGTAAATTGTGAAATGTGTTCTAGCAAAAACAATTTTACTAAGAATAAGAGATGACACATCCACATTGCAGCGCACACATAAATGAGGTATAAAGCTTATCTAAACATTTCTGTGAAACTGCACAGGGTGGTTTACTGGAAAGAGCTGCAGCTGCAGGTCAGAGGTCTGGATTCTAGGACATTCTGTACCCTGCACTCAGTGAGGGGATTACTTCCTTCCTGTCACAGAGTGTCTCTTCCCTCATCTGAGACCTGAGTGAGTTCAAACAGATGCTTGACAGGATGGTCCCAGCACAGACACAAATGATCCCTTAGATAGAGCCACGGGCGCCTGGTGCAGAGTGAGATGGAGTGTGGTGGTACAGAGAAGCCGCCAGCCAGGTGCTGGCCCATTCATCGCCTTCACTTTGTCTCCTGGCCACAAGCCCAAGAGGAAATCGCACTTCTGAACAGCATTCACAGACTGACAGGCAACCTTGTCCTCGGTGGGTGTCGTCTGTTTCAGTGAGAGGTTAACATGAGCACTGTGTTTGGTAAATGCACAGAGAAGCCCGGACATCCAGCGTTGGACTGCAGTTCTGGTCTTTTGAGGAATGTGCGGCGTAGCAGGGGCTGAGCCACTCACCAGAGGCCTCAGCATTCCACCCCTGCTGGGTGATGATGCTTAGAGCCAGTGTATGTGTGTTTGTGCATCAGAAGGACAGAAACACAGGTTCACTGGTGTCACCAAGAGATGCGAGAAGTGGAGTCCCATGGTACAAAGCGAGAGACAGGAATCTGTCTCCCTGTCCAGCCCCCTTGTTGACCACCCCTATGGCCAAGGCAGGTCATTTTCCTTGGCTGCTCTCTACCTCAGTTTCCCCTCTTGGCCGCCTTTGATACTAATAGGAACAGTCTCAGTCTGAGGGTAACTTTATAAGCTGCTTAGGAAAGTGTTTGCTTTGTGATATTGGCACGGGTCAGGTGATGTTACTGTTAATCATGCAGCTTGACTTGGAGAGAGACTCGTCAGTCAGGGTTATGCAGGATTATGCACACACACAGTCAGGATTATCCTCACACATGTGAGGAGCACATGTCTGTGTAAATGGATACAGATGATGAACTCTTGACACTGCTAGACCCTACTCAGATCAACTGAATAAGTGAATCCTGAGATCTACAAGCCAGCAGCTCCGAGATCTTGGCATCAG